TGCAGGCTGAAGACTAATCTGAGGAGGAGGAATGGTGAAAGGGGAAGATTAAAGGAATGGACTGAGAATATGAAAGAGAGAGTGTGGCACAACATCTCTCCCCTCTTCTAGTAACTGTTTGGTGAATGGGTTTCCGAGTGGATTAAAGGTATAGAGCATACATCTTAAGTGGTCTGCCCTTTCTTTCGCCGAAATGGATACCTCCAAGAAGCATGGAGTGGGAGGAGTGCCTTGTGGCCCCGCGACAACCCCCTATACTCTTCCCCATTTGATTTGAATCCTCTGTCATCATAATGCAAACAAAAAATAACAAAAATAAAGAGATAGTTGAAAAAAGAACATTTAAAAATACTCAATGATAGTTGGAATATGCATAATATTAAATATATTTCAGTCACCCAAGAACGTTCAGGGTCTTAGCCAGTTCCAGTCATCCAGCCACACTAGGAGTACAATACAAAATACAAAATCCACAAAAGAATGATACCTTTATTGGCCAACTGAAATGCACAAAATACATTATGCAGTCTTTTGAAGCTCCACTGACTTGTTCATTAGGCAAAAGTTGTTAAAAAACATACAGAAGAAGAGTGATGATGGCCAGGTTACAGGTCTATATTTTGAAGTTTCTGTTCTAGTTTTATTTGTTCTGGAGGATTCTCAGTGTAGGCAGAAGACACTCCCATTCTTGGACATGTGGGGAACAGGGACAAAGGACAATAAAAGACAGGTAATAAAATCTTAACTCTATTAGCAACAGAAAAGTAACTTTCCTAGAGATCCACATTGTCCCTGTTTTTTATGAAGCTAACTTCTCCTTTTTTAGACAGAGAACATTAAATTTCTCAGTCCCTGTGCTGTTATATTGGGGGGGGGGGAGTGTAGGCACTGTATAGGTAAAATATGCCAATTGTAGTCCAAATAAGAGAGTTTTACTTTTGTTGGTAGTAAAAACATAGAAGAATTAAGTCCCAACCTCTATTACTTTCCTCTTCTTAAAGTTCACTAGGAGTATATTCCAAATCTACAGTGAAGCAATGGAAGCCTGAAAGGAACAGGTTGTGGTCATAGTTCTCAGAAGCTTTACTGGGCAATAAATGTGCCAAGACATCTTGACAACCATGCTCCCCAGGTCTCTGGGTATGTTGAAGAGTCCAGGTTCTTTGGCCCTCAAGTGAAGTGATGCAGCTGTTAATTTGTCTTTACTGATTATATGGCTTTTAAAAGGTCAACTCATGGCTTCTAGGGATATGAAGTACTTAACACCAACCAATTTTATTTAAGTCTCATTGTAACTGGAAAAAATTGTAAGGTGTCAGAATGACTCTTTCTGATATCCCTGCAATATCCTGGAAGAGTCTATTTAAAAATAATGATGGTAAAGTAGGGATGTATACAGAATGTCTCTCTCTCTCTTTCTCTCTGTATATATCTGCATGCAAACACATGCAAAAATGAATATGAGTGTTGGACAAAAAGAAGAGGGATAATTTCATATCTGTGAAATTTCTTCAAAATGTAGAGTGCTATATTTTCCTTCTTACTATGGAAAAAAGATACCAGAAAACTAAATACACCTGTTTAGCTGTTACAAGAGGGTGAAGAGAGAACTATATTAGGATGTTCTCTGTGTGTTCTAATAGAAATGCATATTCAATCCAACATATTGATAAAATGTCACATACAAAAAAGTATTGATGAAACTGTAATCCCTTCTGCCCCCTCTATGGAGAAGCAGTACATCAAAGCCCTGAGTCTCTATGGTTCACCAATAAGACATAAACACAAATTCCATATCAGAGACATTTATTGTTCCCAGACTATTACATAGCTCACCAAATTCCAGCCTTCTCACCACTTTGTTCATACACAAAATCAGACTAGAGGTGGCCCTTCAAAAAAGCCCCCCCCAAAAAACAAAACAAAACAAAACTTGGAGTCTTTAAGTTTTGTCACTATCAGCTGGCAGGAGGAGAATAAATACAGACAGGTTCAAGTTTGCTTCTGTTCTCAAGTCCACAATGTTTCACTCTAAATTGGTGCAGAATCAGTTCTCAGAACACTACTCTGCAGCAGGAGTAGATCAACAGGATAACTTCCAATGGATCAAGTACTATGAAAACATAAAGATACCCAAAAATGTATTTGTGAAATAATCAAAACTACTTATGAAACCTCAAATTGACCAATTGTAAATGTTTCAAAAGACACATGCAACACACACTGTGGTATACAATAGACAAATTAGAACAATAGATTCCAGAATAACTCTGATACATAGTCCAAATGTGATACAATAATGATACAAATGACTCAAACAAAATGCTGCTGCTGATGATGATGATGGTGGTGGTGGCTGTTCCTGGGATCTTGAATGAGATGTTTCAATCTCATAGGTATTCTTCAAATTGTTATGTTCAATCAATATTGTAGTATTTTTCCTTTCAGTCACAGGAGCTGCATAGAAATTGACGTCTACACTGCTAATCATACACATGAAACCATGAGACATTATCTAAATAAAATTATTTACAGATTTGGAACTCCTCAAGAGTAAAGAACCTTTTCTGTACTTTTCAGTTTCTGCACAGAGTTAATCTCAAATATGCTGAAAAGTTATGTATTTCTCCTAATTCTCATTTCCCGCCACAGAGAACTACAAACAATGACCATATGTGATTATTACACTTCATACTGCCAGAGGAGTGTGCGCTGGGGATTTCCCCTGATTGTTGCAATTAAATAGCCCAACAGGACCCTTTAGGGTGGCTGCAGACTTTACAGGGATGGCAGTCAAGTCCTTCTGTTACAGAACAGAGGCTCCCATAGCTTTTCAGAATGGTACTAGTAGGTGAAGTAGCTAGACAACTTGACTCCAATCTGGATAGACACATAATCCTAGGGACAGACTGCTAATCTCCTTCCTGATTCCCTGAGAAAGCCTGCCCCCTCCCCCAGATGAGTTGGTCTCCTGTATTCCTTTGCCCTTTCCTCCTTTGGTGGCAGTCTTCCAAGCTTGCAAAAAATCCAGCACCTTCTCCACAGCACTCCAATGCACTGCTCCCCACAGCAGTCACCTAGTCACTGTCTCAGTTTTTATATCTCTGTTGCCCAGCCATCCTGGCTGCTGGGCCTCCTACATCAGCCTGGGCAATCAGCTACACAATTTCCAACATTCTCCTCATCACTGCTCAGCAGAGTAGCCAAAAGCCTCCCCAGTTTGGCAGAAGGAGCAGGATAGGAGTTTGGTAGGGTATCAGCCTCTGATACCTCCTCTCAGAAGACATCACATTGCAGTACACTTTTATGTTCACATGCATATTCCAAAAGTTGCTGAGGGAAGAGATATGCAAGAAGTGAATGAAGTGAAAGCTGTCCAAAAATATGCAGACAGAGTATGTTGTAAAATATTGGGAGGAATTGTAGCTACAGAATATTGTATTACTCCAATTCTATTCCAGTTCTAATCCATATTCATATTACAATGTGACCTTAATTTTGTCAGACCTTTCCCATTTTTGGATGAAATTTGTAGTTGGCTTAGCGGTAAGAGGAAATGCTGCCAAAATTTATTAGAAATATCTTTCAGCTTTGTTTTATCCTACATTTAAATTGATTCAGATTCAAAATATGTTCATTTTTTTTAAAAAAATGGAAAATTATTTTTCTTACAAACAAAAACAAATGAAATCAAATTCTATTTTAGTGATTTAACTCATTTTGTTCTCTCATGCAAGAATGAGAAGCTTATAAACTTTTCTACTTCTTGAGAAAGATTGTGAAAGTAATTGTGGATTTTTTTGGTGGTGTTTCATATTTTGGGTCTTTCTTTCTGAAAATGTCTCAAATGGGTATATCATACAAAGTGCACTTTTATGTACATGCACAAAATAAATTGATTAAAACATATTCTTTTGATTTTGTAAAACAGAACATTTTTGGCAGGAAATCTATGTGTCTGTGCCAAATTCATAAGCACACACAACCCTATCTCACCATCACCACCACCATTTTGCAGAAAAATCCACAAATGTTGACTGTGGGGGTGGGGATGTCTTGACCTATTAAAACACTCTTACAGATGTTGTTATTTTACATGCTTTATTGTGTAAAAGCTACCCTTTGTTTTATAAAGAGATGTATGTAAGCTAGGCTCCAGGCACCACAAAGAGGGAAATAAATTGATATTCCACATTGTTAACAACAAGATAATGTTGGCGTCCATCGTTTCAGCACCAGTCCCAAGAGCAAGTGTTTTCAATTTGATCCTTCTCTGATAGATACTTAGCAACCTAAGGCTGATGTTAGAGGATGGCATTTAGTCTCTTGACACTTTCCAAATTGATATGGGAGAATTAAATCAAGAGTGTGTTCACATTTTAATCTTTCCACATCAAAAAGAATAGATTTTCTAACACCAATAAAATATAGTAGAGGACATGTCATGAATTTCAGCTGGCTTACTAGACAAGTCATGTATCAAAAGGATGAAAACAAATATTTTATGATACTCGGGGGAGAAAAAGAACAGCACTGTATCAGAATTCTGGATAAGCTTCTGTTGAAATGGAGCTTTGACTAGTATTGTAGAGCTAGCAGGGTGTAGTGGTTTGAGTGTTGAACTGTGACTCTTGAGACCAGGGTTCAATTTCCTGCTTAGCCATAAAACCTACTGGGTGTCTTTGGACAAGTAATATGCTCTCAGTCTCAGGGGAAGGTAGTGACAAACCTACTTTGAAAACCTCTTGTCAAGAAAACTCTGTGATAAGTTCATCTTAGAGTCACCGTAAGTTGCAAACAACTTCAGTGCACACAATAACAGCAACAACGAAGTCATGAATTTGAAAGTTATATGATAGATTTTTGTACTGCTACTACTACTTTCTTGTTCTGTGCTTTTAAGTTGCTTCTGACATATTACAACCCTAAAGTGAAAGTTATCATGGGGTTTTTGAGGCTGAGAGTGTGTTACTTGCCCAAGGTCACACAGTGGGTTTCCATGGCTAAGCAGGAATTTGAACCCTGGCCTCCAGATTCATAGTCCAGAACTCAAACCACTATGCTACATTGGCTCACTACTTCTACTGTACTACTTTTTTTTTTTAAATAGGCTGAATTCTTTCAAAAAGTGGATTAGTGACAAATGTGTCTGGGGCCTGGGCTGTATCATTTAAGACTGTAGCTCGGTGCATTAGTGTTGAATTCTTCTTTTGTAAAAACACAAAACAGAAGCAAATAATTGCTCCTTTCAGAAACTAATGCCAATTGGAA